CCCCCCCCCCCACACACACACACCACCCCATCATCCATCCATCCATCCATGCAGAGAGACGGGCGCCTTCTCTGCTCTGTTGCCTCCGTGGTAGCGGCTGACCTGCCTCCCCCATCCACCCACCTACCGCCTCACCCACCACAACCCATCACACTCACCACGTCTGTCATGCGCGGCTCCTCTCTTCGAAAGAAAACAAAACAAAACAAAACAATACAATACGGCTACCAGAGCTGCAGAAAAACACAGTCGAGAAAGAACAACCACGGCTACAAGGACCGCACGAAAGAGAAAGAAGAGGTACACTACTAGAGCGCACACAGAAAGCAAAGACGTAGAAGAAAGACGGACGGCTAAGGAAAGAAAACCAGACGCCTCCAAAACAGAGGCTTCTGGATGAAAGGAAAAAGGAAAGAAGCTACAAGAGCCGAGAGAAAGCCCACGATTGTGGGGGGGTGAGTGGATGGGAGTGATGGGAGTGGCGGTATGTACAGTGGATGAGTGTTGGAGCGACACGGAGGCGAGCTGCTCGCCTCCAGCCGCCTCGCCTGCCAGTCGCCCGCGACAGCTCCGAAGGGGATGCCGACGACGGCATCGATCCGCCGCACTGGATGCCCGACTGGCTGGTGGTGGAGGACGCCTCGGACGCCGCGGCCTGGTGTGATGGCGGGGGAGTGCCGCGAAGACCAAACAGACTGGACACGGGATCTGATCAGCAGACAAACCAATGCATTTCCCATCATGTGTGTGTGGATTTCATCCTTCCTTGGTCTGCTTACTTAGCATTTTGCTGAGCATTGCCCGCTGATGTTCCTGCTGCAACTCAGCGTTGCTGCTGCCGGGGGCGGGGATGCCGGCGATGTGTTGGGCTGCCTCTTTCGATGTGTGAATTAGATAACATCTTGAATCTGGATCTTTTTCTCGGTTTTTTCTTTTTTTTTTGTCGGACCAAGGGATCGCAATTCTGAAAAGCAGCAGAAAGGGAAGTCGACGTGCACGTGAACACCTGAACACCAGACTGAGTGAGGCCGCTACTTAACCTCCGGAAATGTGTCGAGAGAATGAGACGGGAACGAGAATAAGAAATCACCATAATTTCACCTGCACACACACACATGGCCAGGGGAGGCACCTCAGCACACCCATGGCAACGAAGTGTGTCATGCATTCAAGCCTACATATCATCCAGACCCCACACCATGACCTTAAACACTGATACGGTACTCACCGGATGGAGGCGGTTCGTGCGAGAAGATATGAAAGGTGCGTGCGCACTCGGCAGGGGCCACGCAGTCGCCAGCCGCTCCGCAGAAGGCAAGACGCCACCAGGCAAGGCCTCGCCCCGGGGCAAGTGGCTGATGACATCCGGACGAGTTAGGGGTAGAGGGAGATGGGGCGGACAGCACAAGCCAACAACCAGCCGAAAAGAAAAAGAAACGGAGGATCTGTGGCCGTGAAAAGCCGAACGCGGACGAAAAATGTGAAAAATGCAAGCTACAAATGTTTGTGGAATTTTGAGGCGTCTCGTCTCGCGCGAAATCTCGGCGGGCTTTCCTGGTGAGAGCCGACAACAGAGCAGCGCTTCGGCGGCGGCAAACCGAAAGTAGCCCGAGGCGGGCCCTGACGTTGTGTGTGCATTTGGCTTCAGGAGGGGATGTTCGGATGTTCAGGGGGATCGATTGGATGCGATATGCAGATTGAGCGAATGCACCACTCCCGCACGCACCCACGCGCGCACGCGCACATGTCTGGCTGGTGTCATGCATGCGATCCATGTATGATAGAAGAATGAATGTCATTGAGCCTGGCCATGCCATGTGGGCGTGTGTGTGTGTATGTGGAGTGGTGCGGGGGAATGCAATTCACACAGCCTGTCTGCCTGCCTGCCTGTCTGTCTGCCTGTCTCGACCGCCTCGGGACACACACTGACCTGAGCTGACCGACAAAAACGATTTATAGACGCCAAACGCATAGGCACACATGGCGACGGAAGAGAACTCTCACTCACTACCACTCACTACCCCTCACTCACTGACAGCCAGCCACACCAAAACAATCAACGTTAGTCATTCGTTTATAGTACTAGTTGTAAGTCGTCCCATCCAGCCAATCAATCAGGCAAGGCAGTCATTCACTCATCCACTCATTGATACACTCGACCCATAGCGATACACTCACTCCACCCGCCCCATCCCTCCCTCCATCCAAACAATCAACCAACCAGAGAGGCCCCACCCCACCACCCCACCCACAGCCCCGCATTCAGAAAGTAGTGAGTCGGTCAGTGTCCGTCAGTGGGTGTGTGTCTCGGTTGGCATGGCCGGCCCTCCCGCATAGATAGATCAAAGTCAGCTAGGTAGGTGGGAGCCATGCAGGCAGGCAGGTTCAACTACCTGGCTCTGCTCTGCTCGCCTCGCTAGCCAGAGGACATTGACATACCATACAGACACCCTCGATCGCTTAAACACGGGACAGACACAGACAGACAGACAGACAGCAAGATGAAGACAGACAGACAGGCAGACAGACACGGATGAACAAAGACACGACAAGAGCCCCCCCCCCCC